CCATGAGTCATTAGCATAAACGTTGCGCTTCACCTTCAACACTGCCTCCAGTGAACCTTGGCATATGTTTCCTATTCCTTCTCACTGTTACACATATATCAGTATTGTTCACACGTAGGAAATCAGCAAGCATAGGGCTTGTAAACCAGTTGTCTGTGTACAATGTATGGCCCTTGCCAAGGTATGGTTCCATCATCCTGCGAACAACATCACCGGAAATGCCCAACATCCTTCTGTCATCATCGAGTGTGTTTTTCCCTGTGTATACAATTACATCCAACACAAGACCACTCTCACAGTCACACATAACAAAAAGTTTTATACCAAAGCGATTACGTTTGCTCGGTATATATTGCTTGAATGACAGGCATCCCTTGAACAGAATCAAGGACTCATCAACAACAGTGTTCTTGAAGGGATAAAAGTATACACTGAATTTCTGCTTCAAATACATAAACACTTCCCGGATTTTGTATAGAAGGTCATTTCTGTCTGGCGTATTTCTGTCTGCGAAGTGCAACATTCATAGCAACAGAGTGAATCTGTTGCAGGGAAGGAGGTCACGGAAAACTGGAGTACTGATGAAGTGGTCTGTAGACCAGTAATTACGTATATTGTTCTTATAGATATGTGGCATAAGCATGACAGTGGCAAGGAATAAATACATTTCAGCCACTGTTGTGTCTTTCCACCTGTGCAGCCGTGATGATTCTCCAACCTCTGTTGTGTTGTTCATGACATATTGGTAATAAATGTTTGTCTGAGTCACTATCAAGTTCATTATAGGCTCGTCAAAGTACAACTGGAAATAGTCTAACTCTGTAGACTCATTCGTTATGGGACTTTCTGGCTGGATACCACTTCCACTAGCATCAAAATCACAAGGTTGTGGCACGAATATACTTTGTGTCCAGTTCCACTCACGATCACATGGTGCAGGGTGGACCTGTGGCATGGGGCGAGGGGGGCAGGAGGAGGAGGGAGAGGAGTGGAGGCAGCACATGGTTGAGGGAGTGCCGGGCAGTCCTTTGTCTGTCCACCTACTGTGCCATGTGGTCCAGGCACCATGCCACCCACCACTACTTCCTCCATCCCCGCATACTCCCCTTCGTGATCACTTTCACTATCAGTGGCCGGGGTTTTGGATCGTGACCTGCCACGACCCTTTGGGGGATTGCATATGGCACGCCTGAACGTAATAACGCACCTAAAAGTACGTTCAGGGTGAATAATGAACGTCACTATCACTAGACGAATCCTCAATTGGCATAAAATCAATCTCATCATCACTTACATCACTTTCACTATCACTACTAAAACACCAGGAAAATGATAGTTTCCTCTTGCGAAGTTGCCTATGGGTAACACTTGCCACTCTAGAGGTCTGTGCCCGGGTCTTCTGTGGCCACACTGGCCACCCCAGAAGTGCTTGGCCTGGGGTCGATGTGGCCACACTGGCTACCCCAGAGGTGCTTGGCCCTGGGACAGGTGTCACTACCCAGAGGTGATGGGCTGGGGTCATCGGGGTTATCGTCGATATTTTCACTAATTCCTTAATATTTACTGGCCCCTTTGGGTGTCAAATCCACAAAACACTCGAATAGTGAGTGTTAATACAATGAGGCGTGAGTGAATCACGAGGATGTGCCATGATGTTGACCCAGGATGGAGCTGAATGTAACTGGTCCTACCATGTGGTACCCAGGTGTCCCAGATTTTTTGTATACTGCGCACACCATTTCCTTCATGTCAGGCGACTCAGGCCTATCGGCAAAATTTTAACGAAGAAAAATAAAACGTATATATACGTTTGGGGCGCTACGCACGTGAACGTATATATACGTTTGGACCGTTTAAGGGTTAAATAGTAACAAAGTTTGATTGGGTCACAGGTTGACATTTATGAGATACAATAATGAGATACATATATGAGATACAATTTATGAGATACAATTTATGAGATACAATTATTCAGTATTTATTTAGTTGTGTGTGAGTAAGTGATTTTTGAGAAGAGACTTGAATTTATAAACAGTGTTTCTTTTATATTCACAGGTAATGAATTCCAGATTTTAGGGCCGTTTATGTGCATTGAGTTTTTGCATAGCGCGAGATGGACATGAGGAACATCAAAGAGTGATCTGTGCCTTGTGTTATGGTCATGTGTTCTGTTAAGGTTGGTAAGGAGATGTTTGAGGGGAGGGTTTATGTCAGAGTTAAGTGTTCTATGTATGTAGTAGGTGCAGTAATAAGTATGGATGTTTTGTATTGTATTGTATTGCTCCAAACCATGGACATCAACTCTTCTCCAGGCTGAGGGACTCACCATCTCAAACTATATCTCCAAGAATGATTGACTGATTACATAATCTTCACTTTGCTACTGCTCTTACTGCCTTCAATCTTTTCTCTACATTTGACTGAAGAAGCTTACCAAATAGGTGAAACATTTCAACAGTAAAGGTATTCAGTTGTTGCTTGTGTGTCTTACTAAACTTTGTGATATGCGGTCATCTACTGTTTGACATATATCAGACCATCAAACACTACATGTACACACTCCTGTAGGCTCTACTCTCTCTCATGCACTCTTTTAAATTAACATTATGGTCAGCCCTTAATATAACTTACTAATGCAGGGAAGGGATTGTTCATGCTCCAGTTGTCTTTTTTGTCACGAGTAAACATTAACAGACAATATTTGGATATAAAGTAATAAGACTGCTAAACCCAAAACATAATTTGTGGCTGGGGTGGAAATAAGTCCAAATTTTACTTATTGCCACTTTAAGAATAACAACAGTTCTAAAATTGACAAATTTTTGCTTCCAAGTGTTGTCCGACCACAGATTTGGTGTGTCAGTAATCTGTTAAATGCTGGTCATTAACTGAAGGTTTACTCAACCATATTTTGATAACGTTTTCTTGTCCTTATTAACTGTAATTTTATCAACATCCTTTTTTTTCAACAAATCTTAATCTGTACTAATCAGTTAGACAAACAATTATTTTTCTTTTTCTTACAGAGGTATCATAGCTTATTATCACAGAAAATGCATGTATGCAAACCTGCATTAGGTGAGAACCACAACAACAAGAAACCACGGCACCCAACAGGAAAACTATTGATGCTGGAGATGCAAGAAGACAATTAAGTGGTGAAACTAAGAGTTGTTTCTAAGACAGAAAATTATTACATATAATAAATCACTTGTCTTGGAAACACACTTAGTTTCACACTTGAATTATCTACTTGCACCTCCAGTAATCATAGTATTCCTGTTTAGTAGTATTCCCTTTGGGTGACGTTGCACATTCTCAACATGCAATGAATAGATGCTAATACAGGTACGTTCCTCACTTAATGACCTACCGTTAATGATCGCTCGGACTTTAGGACTAATTTTCTCCAACAGTAGTGAACCTAATTAATGTATAATACAGCTGATTTCTTCTATTTCTGTTTATTACAGTATGGCAGACACTACGGTATAACCAATTCAAAATATACTATAAATATTATAATGCTGCAAAGTTGAACATAAAACAATATCTAATGATGGTTAAAACCCACAGAACCTAACTCTTAGGAATGGAATTCGGTCATTAGTGAGGAGTACCTGTATAACAAAATTATTTGATGGACAATCTCACAAAGGACACAACACTTCCACAAACAACTGTAGCAATGGTTCCTCTCCTGTGAGTCTGTTGACTATTGAAAATTATGGCTGGATTATGCTATTTAACACAGTGGGCTCGTCTATAGGCACAGAGAAACTGCAGCACCCCCTAATTTTCACTTGATATTATCGATAACATCCAATATCATGAGTCTTTTCTTTTATTCTTTAATTCCAATATCCATAGTTTCTTTTCTTTAATTCTTCTTTATACTTTTATATACATTTCTTAAGCTTAATGTCAGTACCATCCCCTGGTTACAGTGGAACCCTGGGTTTTCAAACGTAATCATTTCCAGAAAGGTTCGTTCTAAAATCAAAACGTGCGAAAACTGAATCAATATTTCCCATAAAAAAATTGTAAATACACATTATAGTGTTGGCAGCTCTTCAAGATTAAGTTTTAATGGATACTCTTCCCAGTGGTTAATCCACCAACTCTTCCAACATTCATTACATACCTTAAAAAATATTTGTAGTCTTAATGTAGTGCGAAGGTGGAGTAGTACTTGTTTTTTGTCGAATCACTGTGTCTGACTTTTTTTGGGTTAGCCTACGTTATCTACACATATGCTGCTATGTATAATCTATGTAACTGTATTTATGTATACCTGAATAAACTTGCTAAGTAGCTCGTGAGATGTGGTAGCCGGTACAGGTAGGTAGCCGTAGGTAACCAGTAGGTAGCCTGGGATACATACATGCACCTACCTACTATTACAAAAAAGTAATTTTTAAAAGGAGAGATGTTATTAAGATTTACTTCTTTTGTAATAAAGAGTTCGGGATACATAAATACACACATTAATAAATTAATCTTTAATATATAAAATCAACTATCTTGGTCTAGAGGTATTTGAACTATGATATCATAATAATATTAACAGTTACTATAATAAATTATAATCAGCATTTTACTAAAATATAATTAATAACCCTACACAGGGTACAACTCTTGACACTACTGTCACTATATATATATATATCTCTATGCTAAAACAATAAATTAAAAATAACATTTTTATAATAATAAATTACAATCAACTGCCTCTCACGACACGAAGTCAGTCAAAACGACACTGTTCAGTGTACACTACAACCGGCCATTTTCAGTGTCCCACGACACCCTTTTTCATCTCATTGTTCCACTACGGCCCCTGTGCATATCTCAGTGTTCCACTCCATCGTACGTCCCTCAGTGTCACACTACGGTCCTGGCCCAGTTCAGTGTAACACTCCAACCTTTTCTTCATGTAATGTCCCACTAAACCGCATCTGACGACTCCGGCCCACAGTTTTATCAACGTAGACGGGGAGTCCACAGACATCACCGGTAGTCCAGTAAATCCTCTCCAAAGGCGGTTGACACACCGCTAGCCGAACACCATGCTGCAAGCTCACTGAATGCGGCCGTCAAGTAACTAGGCCAACAGACTCAGTGAGCTGCGGTGACGGTTCTTCTAACGCCAGTAGATAGGTACGATTCGGTGGTCAGGTACCTACTGCATAGAAAGTGTACCCTGAGGAGTTCAGGTACTTAATGTTGAAGCCAGTAGACGTGTACCCCTTTGTGGTCAGGTACCTACTGCTTAGGTGTGTACAGCGAGGGGGCTCAGGTAATAATATTCTAAAGCCAGTAGACGTGTACCCTTCGGGGGTTCAGGTACCTACTGCTTAGGTGTGTACAGCGAGGCGCTCTGGTACATCTGTTACAAAGCCAGTAGACTGTACCCTTGGGTGGTCAGGTACCTACTGCTTGGGTTTGGTACAGCGAGGCGCTCGGTACTTTATGAAAAAGCCATGAGTTTACCCTTCGTGGTCAGGAAACCTTCCTTGGGGGGGTGACCGTAGGCACCGGGCCCTTTTACTGCTCAAAGGGGGCCGGCTCAGCAGCCCCCACATTGGGTTTGAGACGCACCCAGTGGTCTCCCGGGCCGGGCAGGTTAACTATTTAACCGTAGTTTGGCGGGGCCGCAACACCTACAAGTTTAATGATATTTAATCTGCCCAACATTTTATTCCCATTAACAACTTGTTCATGTTTTTTAAATTGTTTATAACAACTCCCTTTTTAGTTTTCCATCATAAAAAAAGGGAGAAGTAAGAATAATTCATGGAGAATCATAAACAAAACCCAAGACGCAGATTCGTACACTTTTCTCAAAGGGTCAAACCAGAAAAAAAACAGAAACTAATTTTTTTCCCTGCCCCGACCCCACCCTTCAATGGCATATAAACATTCATGTTATACTAGCTATGAACGTGTTTCTTATTAATTTTGAAAAAAATAATATGGAAAAATGAAAAAGCCCAAATTTTAAAACATAAAACAAGACTTTTAATGTGTCCAAGAGTGATCACGAACATATAGTGGCTCAGGCACCTGTCCGATATATGTTTTTCCGAACAAGGTCCATACCCGAACTAAATTCTGCACAAAAAAGGTTCTAAAACCAATTTTGTCTGATAGCTGGAAGGCGAAAACGGGGGTTCCACTGTATGAAAAAAATTACAAAATATTGATAACTGTGCGCTTCGCACTTCCAGCGACTCGGGTTTAGCTGTTGTGTGCATGCGCACATATCTGAGATAAGAGCTGCACTCTATGTAGACAGAGCACTGTTGCTGACGCAGTGCCGACCCTGTTTTTATAGGTCAGCACAGTGTACCTTTCCCTTTCTGAATCGGCGACTTTTTCGTGCTTAAAAACCGTGTACTATATCCTTGCATGTGATAAAGTGTACAATTAGATGATTCTCATGCTTCCAGATATTTTATTTAACCCCTTTTCAGGGTCCAAAGGCCAAATTTCAAAGTGTGCACCATGTCCAAGATATTTCAAAAAAATAATTTTTTTATTTTTTCTTATGAAATGGTAGAGAATCTTTTTCTGAAGGTAATAAAACAAAAAGTACACCTACCATCCGACTTACGACCACTCGACTTATGACAGTGTTTTTTAGGCCAATTTTTGGGAAATAAAAACAACTATTTGTACTCCCCTATTGTGGTTGCAGGGTCGATTCAAAAGCTCCTGGCCCCACCTCTTCGCTGTTTGCTACTAGGTCCTCTCTCTTCCCTGCCCCATGAGCTCTATCATACCTCGCCTTGAAACTGTGTATGGTTCCCGCCTCCACTACAATCACTTTCAGTCTATTCCACGGCCTGACTACTCTATGACTGAAGAAATACTTCCTAACATCCCTTTGATTCATCTGAGTCTTCAACTTCCAATTGTGACCTCTTGTGTCTGTGTCCCTTCTCTGGAACATCTCGTCTTTGTCCACCTTGTCTATTCCGCACAGTATTTTATATGTCGTTATCATGTCTCCCCTGACCCTCCTGTCTCCAGTGTCATCAGGCCGATTTCCCTAAACCCTTTTCTTCTTCGTAGGACAATCCCCGTAGCTCGGGGACAAGTCTTGTTGCAAACCTTTGCACTTTCTCTAATTTCTTGATGTGCTTTGACTAGGTGTGGATTCCAAACTGGGGG